ATCCCTAATGAACACCAGTGCAAAAATTCTCAACAAGATACTAACCAACAGGATCCAACAAGACCTTAAGAGGATTATTCGCCATGACCAAGTGGGATTTATCCCCAGGATGCAAGGCTGGTTCAACACTTGTAAAACCGCCAACGTGATAGAGCATATCAATAAGAGAAAAAACAAGAACCATATGATCCTCTCAATTGATGCAGAGAAAACATTTGACAAAACACAGCATCCATTCCTGATTAAAACTCTTCAGAGTGTAGGGATAGAGAGAACATTCCTCAGCATCTTAAAAGCCATCTACGAAAAGCCCACAGAAAATATCATTCTCAATGGGGAAGCACTGGGAGCCCTTCCCCTAAGATGAGGAACACGACAGGGGATGTCCACTCTCACCACCACTATTCAACATAGTCCTAGAAGTCCGAGCCTCGGCAATCAGGCAACAAAAAGAAATAAAAGGCATTGACCTTGGCAAAGAAGAAGTCAAACTCTCCCTCTTCACAGATGACATGATACTGTACATAGAAAACCCAAAGATTCCACCCCAAGATTGCTAGAACTCATACAGCAATTCGGCAGTGTGGCAGGATACAAAATCAATGCCCAGAAGTCAGTGGCATTTCTATACACTAACAATGAGACTGAAGAAAGAGAGATTAAGGAGTCAATTCCATTTACAATTGCACTCAAAAGTATAAGATACCTAGGAATAAACGTAACCAAACAGGTAAAGGATCTATATCCTAAAAACTACAGAAAACTTCTGAAAGAAATTGAGGAAGACACAAAGAGATGGAAAAATATTCCATGCTCATGGATTGGAAGAGTTAATACTGTGACAATGTCAATGCTACCGAGGGCAGTATACACGTTCAATGCAATCCCTATCAAAGTATCATGGAGTTTTTTCAGAGAGTTGGAACAAATGATCTTAAGATTTGTGTGGAATCAGAAAAGACCCTGAATAGGCAGGGGAATATTGAAAAAGAAAACCAGAGCCGGGGGCATCACAAGTTGTGACTGTGATGGATTTCAAGCTGTACTACAAAGCTGTGATCATCAAGACAGTGTGGTCCTGGCACAAAAACAGACATATTGATCAGTGGAACAGAATAGAGAACCCAGAATGGGTCTATGTCAAAAGACCTATCTGATTATGTCACTCCCGTTTAGACTCCTGGCTTCCCACTTCCCTTAAATTCCTTACCGTGTTTTATGGGCATGACGTGCCTCTGCAGCTTCACCTGACATTACACTCTCCCCGACAGCTGTCCTCACTACTCTAGACACACCAGATTCTTCATGTTTCACAAATAAGCACTGAATCCACAGCATTTCAACTTCTATGAAGGTGCATTATCAGGCCCTTTCTATTTCGTGTCCTTGATCTTAGGCTACCTTGCTCTATTTTTGTCAGTAACTGAGAAAGAAGGTAAAGACTCCAATGATGCTCCTCCCTATCCACATCTGAGGACCCTTCCTCAAGATAGTTCACTTCTTCTTAGGGCCTTGTCCACGTCACTTTCCCAAAACCCCACAACAGATTTTAAGTACTGTGGTTACAGGTTTCCTAGCACCTCTGTGCTTCTACTTGGCACGAATTTCACATCCATGGTACCTGAAGGAAGCAGTCAGTTTGTTCTGCTAGGCTGGAAGCTCCAGAAGGCAGGAACTTCACCATGTATTTCTAGAGTCCCACACATACAGCACCTAGCATACGGCATGCATGCAAACAGTTCCTAAAAGAACAAACAATGGCTTTTTCTGAAACTTTGGTGAGGTGTTTCTGCCCTTCTCAAAAATTAAGTGCTCATCCACATATTCTTTTTCATCCCAGAGACTATTTTTAATACAGGATACCACACAGACCTCAGGAAAACCTGTCCCTCATTTTTAAAATGTGCCATTTTTGTAAATTCAAAAAGAGTAAGAGAAAGAATGTGTGTGTATAAAATTATATATACTATGATGCTGGGCCAGACAATGACATCCTCTCTATGCAAGGTCAGGAAGAACTAGAATTCTCAAATGCAAGGTCCCCGTCTTTAAGAGGCACTTCCAATTTCATGGAGAACTGAGCCACTTCAATGCTTTCTGTGGGCCTTCACAGGTCTTCTCATCACGGTGCCTAAGCACTGGGGCAACTCTTCTGTGTTCTCTAACATTGGAAAGCACCCCATTCATGGTAGTATCCCACAGGGTTGGAGGACTTTTTCTCTAAAGGGCCAGATAGTTAATTAGGTTTTGCCAGCCATATAGTCTCAGTTGTATGTTTAATTCTGCCATTGGAGTACAAAAGCAGCCATAGGTGATACATAAACAAATGGCTGGGTTCTAGTAAAACTTTATTTACAGAAATGTGGGGGGCAGACTTGGCACATGGGCTGTATGTAGGTGGTCTTTCCCTGCCTTACAGTGCTTGTCTAGACTCTTGCAGGGGCCTCCCAACTAGTCTCCCTGCTTCCACTATCTTCCAAGGGTCACATTCGCAACTAGAAGATTTCTGGTTAACAGTTGCCATTTACTAACTATGCTCTCTAGCCTGGCCTCACTGTGCCCCACCCTTTGTCAGCAAAAGTAAACTGTTTACTACTTTCCCTACATGCTCTCACTACCTGGCTCTGTGCCTAGGTTTCTGCTAATCATCTAGCCTATCCTGTTACCACTCTTATCTTTCATGTTTTTCATCCTTCAAAGCTTTAAATGTTACTTGGCCCACGAAACCTCCTTACTCTCCCTCCCACTGGTGATCCTTACAGCAACCTTTCCAGGTCTTCTACAGAGGCACAGCTCACTTTCTATTTGGGTTATAATTATGTATGTACCTGTCACACCCTTCCTGGAGTAGCACTGAGACAGAATTGGCATCCAATTAGTTTTCTAGCCCTATGGGACCTTTTAATAAAGCTGAATGAAATTAACATAGAATTTCTATTATCATGAACCCAATGAACATACCCATCCTCTCATCAGCATTGAACTCTCTCTCTTCTTCCTTCCTTGTTGTAAATTCACTGCTGGAATATTTTCCCAAGTCTGTACTAAGCTGTCCTGGACACTCTTCACAGACAGACTGCCAAGACATATATATGCAAATGGCTCTCAAACCAACAACTCTGACCTCAACTCCTTCTTGACTTTGAGACCCACAAACTTTTAGCCACCAATCTAAGAGAGTTCTGGTTTGCTGAGCACTGTTAACTCCAACAAATCTCATTATAATATGACAAAGTCTCTCTGGTTTGGCTACACAGTCACATTTCCTCCTAGAATTCTTTCTGCCTTTGTAGCTAATATTAGATCCATTTAAAAGGCCCAATCTGAAGTTTTCCTTAGACTCCATCTGGCATCCTTGATTTCAGGCAGCTTTATGATAACTCTGGTGTTCTGTTTATGTACCATGTAGTCTAAGAGCCTTTGCTCTCTACTCTTGCCAGAGTTTAGTTTCCTCATCAACAACACCCTGTGACAATTGCTACCTGGCAAGGCTGTCATGAGGATTAGAAATAGCACGTAACTCGAATATCCCAGACCTTCGCTGCCCTTTCACGGAATGTCCTTTTCCTGAGCTCCCGCTAGACTATTCCTCCACACACCCCAAGGCCACACTGCAGATGCATCACTGTGACCCACTGCAAAGCCTGCCTAAGGTACAGAGGCCAACACTGGCCTACCATCTACACAGCAATGTATTTTGCTAAGTGCTTTACATAAGCCACTTCATCTAATCATTACAACTCTGGAAGTTAGTTTTCCCACTTTACAGATGGGAAACAGAGGCTTAGAAAAGTTAAGAAACTTGTCCTGAACTAGAAAGCTAGAAAGTAGCAGAACTAGGTCAGCTACAAGCCTGTGTCCTTACTAGGTAGAGTATCCAGCTCAACCCCACACACTGGCTATTGAAACCTCGAAGGCTTTACCTGTACGTACCTGTACCTGACAACTCCCTTCTATGTTATGAGGCCTGCTGCTGCCAGCTGCTGATCTTCGCAGCCAATGCCCCCTCCTTCCATCGCCATCAACCACTTTACATCTTTCTTTTACATTGTAAAGGACAGCTGTCCAAGTCAGTCTCAATGTGTAGACTCCTTTTTTTCTCATCAGTAAACCAATCACAAATTTTTCCTTCGCTGCTACATAATTTTTTATTCCCACTGGATTTGGTGCCATTTCAAATAACAGAGGCTTAGCTCTACAGGCTGGCTGATTGATGCATTAAACAGGTCACCACTGAATATCTTCTATGCCAACAGATTTTAATGAGTTAATGCCAATAAGTTCATTTGTAGGCATAGGCAAAAAGCCTTAACGCTGTTCTGCTTGAGCAACTACTCTGTTGCTTACTATATTAAATTAAAATTTCTCATCAGATCCTGGAAATTAAGTCAACCCTTTACCTCTTCAAAATCACCTTATGACCTATCTACTCTGACATATCCTAGTAAATACTTGTTTGACAAACTACCTTCATTTACAGCTTTTCTAAAACTTAACAAGTTCACTATACTTTTTCCCATCTAAATTAATCGACATAGAACTAACCTCTAGCTTCTAAATTTTTTTTCCCAATAAATGCCTTTTATTGGTCTAAGAAAATGCTTTAAAAAACTTTTCAGAAAATGAAAATAGGTCAAATGATTAAATATTCAAAGAGAAAGAAGTGCTTCAAGATTAAGAATTAAATACAAAGACATTTATTATCAAGAGTATTTTTGGAAAATTTTTCATCTCTGGTTCTCTCAGGCTTTAACATAAGTAAAATAATTTAAAAAGTATATTAAAATCTTTTAAAAAATAAAAAGAAAATTGCACAGTCCATCAAAAGTAAGTAAATACTTAAAAATAAGTAAATTTTACCAAGAGTGTACTGCGGTAGCCTCCGTGAATCACTAGTTTGAATTACCCACATCTCTAGAAACGTGTATTTAATTTAGACTCTCAAAGGAACAAAATCAATCAACAAATTGGGCAACTAATGGTAAATAACAGTGACTTACCTACTTCAGTGAGTTGATGTCTTTCTAGTGTTAAATTCTTTGGGTCCTTAATAAAATGAAAGGGTTGTATTTTTATTCCTTCAATTTGAGGGAATAATAGAGCAAAGCCAGACTCTCCAATTTCTATTTCCTGAGGTCGATTGTTACCTGATCCCATTGGAGTCACTAGGAAAAAAGTTAAACAGTTTCATGAACAGATTTAATAAAGCTGAAATTTGGTAACACTCCATGCCCCACTTAGATACCTATCTTGCCCCACTTAGATAACTACACTTTGGGTAACCAAGATAATCAACAAGTTAAAAGCTGGGTACAAGTTTCTCAGTTTTGAAATTTTAGGGGTAGTGTCATGCTGTCTGCAATTTACTTTGAAATGGTTAAGAAATGTTTTTACAAACAAGCAGAAAAAAAGCAACCATTGCAAAGTTTTTTAAAATGGTGAATCTAGATGAAAGGAATATGGATGTTTACTGTACTATTCTGTCATTCTTCAACTTGGAAGATTTGAAGTTTTTCTAAATAAGATTTTGGGGGGGTAGTAAATACATCTTCACAGCAATTCTACTTTTAAAAATTATCCTAAAAATATTGACAATTATATAAAGTATGTATAGATGTACATATACACACACAGAGCTATATATACGCAAAGTACTTTTACACACACACAAAGGAAATGGACAGGCTGATTCTAATATATGTGGAAATGCAAATGACCTAGATAGCCAAAATGATTTAAAAAAATATCAAAACTTAATCAATCTTTAAAAAGAGGATCAAGACCTACAGTAGTATAGCACTGACTCAAGGATAGACAAATACAGGGTACCTGGGCGGCTCAGCTGGTTAAGTGTCTGCCTTAAGCTCAGCGCATGATCCCATAGAAGATCAAGTCCCACAGAAGAATGCTAATGTGATTCATATGTGGAGCTAAACTATTCTGCAGATAATATTCTCAAGAGAAGAACAAAGACTGAAGATTACTGAGAAAATGCTTTAGTAGTCCAGCTGAGAAGACATTCAAAAGAGATTTAAATATTGCACAAAATGAGATTGGGTTCCCTGCTCGACAGGGACTCTGCTTCTCTCTCTACCCCTTGCCCTACCTGTGCTCTCTCTCTCAAGTCTTCTCTCTCTCAAATAAATTTTTATTTTTATTTTTTATTTTTTTTAAATGTTTATTTATTTATGATAGTCAGAGAGAGAGAGAGAGAGAGAGAGAGAGGGAGAGAGAGAGAGAGGGGCAGAGACACAGGCAGAGAAGCAGGCTCCATGCACCGGGAGCCCGATGTGGGATTCGATCCCGGGTCTCCAGGATCGCGCCCTGGGCCAAAGGCAGGCGCCAAACCGCTGCGCCACCCAGGGATCCCTCAAATAAATTGTTAAAAAAAGGATAAGCAAATAGATCAATGCAACAGAATTAAATCCAGAAAGACCTATAAACATGCAGTCATTATTTTTAACAAAGGTGCCAAGGCAATTAGAGGGAAAAAAAAATCTTTAACAAAGAATGATGAAATAATTGGATGAACGTATGAAAAAAAAATTAACCTTGAACCCCTATCTCACACCATATATAAAAAATTAATTCAAGTTAGGTCACAGAACTGAATATAAGAGCTAAATAGAATAGCTAATAGAAAAATACATAAGAGAATACCTCTGTGACTTTGAGATAGGCCAACATTTCTTGGAGAAGATTTTTTTTTTTTAAGATTTTATTTATTTATTCATGATAAGACATAGAGAGAGAGGCAGAGGGAGAAGCAATCAGGCTCCATGCTGGGAGCCCAATGTGGGACTCAATCCCGGGACTCCAGGATCACACCCTGGGCCAAAGGCAGGCGCCAAACCGCTGAGCCACCCAGGGATCCCCCTCTTGGAGAGGATTTAAAAAACATTCACCATAAAAAGAAAAACATAAACTGGATTTCACCAAAATAAAAGTTCACTGATCATCAAAGACACTGTTAACAGAAAGAAAGAGAGCAAGAGGCTGGGAGAGAAGATTTACAATACCTATACCTGTAAAAGGTCTTGTATTAGAATATATAAACAATTTCAACTCAAAAATCCAATAAAAAAATAAAAGACTTGGATACGTCACAAAACCAGACAAACAGCCAAAAAACATATGAAAACATGCCAACATAATTAAAATCATTGGAGTAATTCAAATTAAAACCACTACAAGAAGCCACCTCATACCCACCATGATGGCTAAAATGAAAAGATCCTTTGAAGACACTAAGTATTAGCGAGGATATGGAACAGTGAGCAACTGAAACCCTCATTCAGTGCTGAGGAGTATAAAATGGCTCTGGAAAATGGTTTGGCAGTTTCTTATAAACATATACCAACCCCAAGACCCAGCAATCCCACCTCTTGGTAGTTGCCCAAGAACAAACCCATGGCTTCAAGACTTACATAGAAATGTTCACATCCTGGGGCCCCTGGGTGGCTTAGTCAGTTAAGTGGCTAATTCCTGATTTTGGCTCAGGGTCCTGGATTCCAGCCCCATGTCAGGCTCCTCACTCAGTGGGGAGTCTGTTGTTTCCCTGCCCCGCCCCTCCCCTCCCCTGCTGTGCTCTCGCATGTACTCTCTCTCAAATACATAAAATCTTAAAAGAAAAATGTTCACAAGAGCATCATCCATAATAGCCAGGAATGTGAAACAATCCAAATTGCCATAGAGTGGAAATATCATCTATTTATGTAACAGAATAACACTCAATAATTTTTAAATGAATTATTGATAAACACAGTAACATAAAGAAATCTCAAAAATATTAGGTTGTTAAAAATATTTTTACAGAGCGAAAAAGCCAAGACATAAAAAGGAGTATATACTCTGGTTCCATTTGTATGACATACAATAGGAAAACTAATCTATGGCCGCAGAAATCAGAAGTGGGATTTCCTTTGTAGGCAGATTGACTGGAATAGGGCATGAAGGAACTCCCTGAGATGACAGAAATATTCTCTATCTTGACTGGTGTGTAAGGTTACACAAGGGTATATATTTGTCAAAACTCATTAAATTGAACACTTACAGTTGTACAGGTCACTGTAAGTAAAGTTCACCTTAAAAGAAAGAAAATGACCTCTACGCTTAGAGGAATGAAAAAATTTTCTCAAACCTGAAGCTTTCTGAACCTAAAGAGGGAAGAAAGGCCAGTAGCCAATGGCTGCTTTAGAAACAATCACTAAACTGTGGCTTAAGAAAAAAGAATCCAACCAAATGTCTTGGCAGAAGTTTTGTTGGGATATACATGGGACTGCCTCACAGAAAGCACCTGGCTCCCAGGGAACCCAAACCAGTGTGTTCAGGGAAACGTGATGGAACTGCAATGGCACCTCCTCCTGATGTCAAGATCATATGCAAACTCGGAATAGATAACGTTAAAACTCCTTCAGCGTAAGGGGAGCCCGAAAGGCAGGCTTAAGGTAGACCTCCTGCCCTCACAACGGGGTCCTCCCAAGTCCACCCTCCCACCTGAAATTTTAGAGGAGAAATGTGATTGTGCTTTCAAAAAGCCACAGTGGGTGAGGTGGGGAGGCCAAAGAAAATGAGGAAGCTACTATTCTATGTAAGCATTTGCTAATAACTAGTAATGGCAAAACCTAGATCACTCATTTAAAGAAAATTCAAAGATAAAAGAAAAGCATGGTTACTGGTATCCTTTCTTTAATCCAATGAGAAATGAAATGTGTGGTGATAGGTGGATGTCATAGCAGGGGGTGGGGAGCAGATAACGATAGGGAGAGATGAAATAGTTCCTATCAACCAGTATTTACCCTTATTCATTTGTAAACACTTGAAATCCTTCTACCTCACTATATAAGACTCTTAAATTTAGGTCGAAAGTCAATTATGGAGTACTACAGAGTGAAAAAAAGAAAGTTATAAAAGCTAACATGTGCTCACTGATTCCTGCACATCTCTACTCTACTTGCGCTAACTCATTTCATCTTCATAACCCTCCAAAGAGGTATTATCAATCATCTCCATTTCATATATGGGGAAACTGAAGTCCTGAGGTTAGGTAACTTGCCCAAAGTCACACAGATACTAAGTACAGTTGGGATTCTATTCCAGGCACCTGAATCACTGTACCATGACTGCCTCAATACCGTGCCTCTCCCCCGTGGGCTATGGAAAAGAATCAAGAATAATAAAAACCGGTAAAAATTCACTAGTGAACTTGGGAAAGGGTATAATTTCACGCTATAAACTTCAAACCATGGTGTCCCAGCAGAGAAACAGAGGTTTCTAGGAAGATCTACTGTGGCTTCTATTCCTAGCCCTAACACTCTCCTGCCTACCAGAAATGATACTGGTTGAATTGACAAAAGTGAGAATGCTCACTTAAAGCCTTCTTATTTGGAGAGAGAGAGAATGTGAGCTTTTCTCTCACGAATGGCTCCCCTGGAAAGATATGCATCACATTTAGTTTACACAGACAGCCCTGAGACTACTAACCACAATAACCTAAAGAACACTAACAGAAGTCAAATATAATACCATGGTAAATACGACTAACTTTATGGCATTCTGGATGGCCAAAAATATAAATGTGCTTTTAGGCTACAAGTAATTTGCTAATCTACAGGGTCCCTCAGTAATGCAAGGCAGGAAATCATCAAATCGGTATTTTCTCTCACCTACAATTCCTGGGGTCACAATCCCAAGGATGTGGCATTGTTTTGGGAATAGCTTCTCAAGGGCAAATGCTGCTTCCATAGTAGTTCTTTTCCTTGCTGTAATAATACAGTAGCAAAATTATTATGTTATTCATTTGAGGTCAACTGTGATGGTGTGGGGGGGGGACAGCAAACACGGAATAAAGTTTAAGTCGTTTATACCACTGCTTTATGAGAAAGTCAATGGGGGTGCCTGGGTGGCTGAAGTGGGTAGGCACTCAACTCCTGATACCAGTTCAGGTCTGGATCTCAGGGTCATGAGTTCAAGCCCTATGTTGGGCTCCATGCTGGCTGTGGAGCCTACTTTAAAGAAAAAAAAAAAAAGCCTAACAACTTTGATGAAAACATTTTCCCATTTGGGGCCTGTTTTATTAAATTATAAATCTGACCCTCAGCACCACCATTTGCCTTTCTTGATTGGTTCATATACTACTTACACCCCAATGATGTTAAATCTAGCAACAGCAGCTAAATTTTACCTTGCTATTGTACCTCTCAGTTTATTTTTTTATTTTTGGTATCTCTCTGTTTAGCTGATATTAGAACATGACTTTTCATTGCATAAATAAGTCACCTGGATTCAAATTAGAGAGTGATTACCCAGGTCGAGCTCTCGGCCTCCGTGTGCCCAGCTTGGGACACTCGGTGTACTTCTCTTAGCAGAGTCAGGAAGGCACAGTGTAATTTTGGTGTCCCTGAACGGGTCCCCATCACAAAATAAAAGGTTTTAATAGCCAAAGATAAACATCCTGTTTAGTAAGAAAAAGTGGCTGGAGCATTAAATTGTTTCAAAATGAGAAAAACATCTTTCAAAAGAACGTTTTAATTGTACTCCAAAGTTCAGAAATCAGTCTGAGGCAGAAGGGGGTCTTCAAGTTTCAAAGACAATGTATTCACGTCTGCCATAGGGAGAAGGCCCAGAGCCTCACCACATCTGTAACTCTCAAGACTAGGATAATATTTAACTCCAGAGGTATATAAGGAACAAAAAACTCCCAAACCTTTTCTCTTTCAGTATTTACCTCTCTTGTGGCCACGACACTCTTCCAGACTAATGAACGTTTCTGAATCAGCCATATAAAGAACTGTCTGTGGTAAGATGTGAACATTCTGCTAACAAAAAACAAAACAAAACAAAACAATAACAAAAAAAGGAATTAGATCACATGAATCCATGAGTGCTCTCCTGGTTCCTTAAAGTTCTGCCCTGGTCCAAACTGCTGTTGGCATACCCTCCCCTTCAGGTCAATGTTAGCATTCTGACTCCAACTACTTCCCATTCATTTTCCACTCATGCTCTTACCTTTTCAGGTCATTCATTTGAGCATCTGTTATTTCTTCTCAGGTCAAACTCATTCCAGCCTGACTCAACAAGTTTTCATAATTTAAACTCTTAAACAAAAACATTAAGTGCCAGCAAAAAGTGCCACTTTTGCTCTGTTTGCATAGGCATTAGTCACAGAAACACCTCAGCAACAAAGGGAAGGTATACACCCTGTACCACTCCTTCCACTGCCTACCAAATCAATATCCCAGACCTTCACTTTCACCTTACCGACTGGTTCCCTCCAGGGACCTTTCTGCTTCCTATAATTCTCACATACACACACTGCCGTTCGGGGATTCTCCTGCAGCTCTTTTCACTTTGTACTTAATTTAGGATTGTTTCCCTCAAGAGACCACCGAAAGTGCCACCTCTGTTACAAAACCTTCTCTGAGACTCCTTCAGGACCCCAGTCCTCAAATCCCAGTCATTCATACTCATGCCTCACCTGCACTTACGAGCTGGGCTTCTTCAGACTGTTTCCCACTAAATGTCACAGTACAGACAAGTGACAAAGTGGTTGAATTAAACAAAAGGATGAACATACTTTTTTTCCTGAACTGGTTATTTTCAAAGACTTAACTGTCAGAACAGAATGAAGAACTCACATATAGCAAAGCCTCAATGTGGATTAAAAAAAAATGTTACTCCACTGTAATTTTGGGGAATGTTATGTTTCAGAGTAGATTTCATATAGACAAACTCAAAAAAGATACTGAGACAGAATGATGACCTTGTGATGGCTCCAAGGCTGATAACTTATGGATATATTGCCTTTGGTCTGCACAGCATTTTCAAAGAATATAACCTGGTTACCACTTATTTAAAATTCCATAAAATATTTACAGAAAATGTGGGCCTCCAGATTCTTTCAAAAAACTAGACATTCTAACAACACTTGGACCGGGCTAAATGCAGGCAAGTACGCCCTGGTGTGCCATGGCCTTATTGCTCTCTATGCGGTTACCCTAAACCAACTTCATTATCTGCCTAACTTTGGAGTCATCTGGTACAGGGCGTAATGAGATAGAAGGTATAGTCTTGAAGGTTTATGATTCTCTCTTTCCTGGTACCCAATGAAAAGCACTTGCTTAGTCTTCTTTCCTCTCATTAGAAGCAGTAACAGTGACAGTCCTCAACAGGAAATGTTCTTAAAGCACAATGTGAGACAACTACATCCTTACTCCACCATTCAAAGAAGTTCCAAAATGGCAAGATATTTTATAAAATTTTTAGTGGACTTTAAAATCCTTCTAATAAAAGTTAAATTATCTTTCTTTATGGCTAAAATAGTACCATGTCCACTAGGTAATGCGGCAAACACAAAGGAAACAGCATGATTTGGGCAAGGTTACATGTTTGTGTCTAACCACGCTAGCATTTACTACACTGAATAAACTTCTTTAAGGGCATTACTGTATGAATTTTAATGATGACATTGATAATAGAGAATAATTTCATTTACTGAAAATATTATCCCTGGTACTGCAGTTAATGTATTTATATGCATCATCTTCCATTATTTAACCGTTAGAACTCTTTCAGCATGAGGAAAATTCTCATTGTCTTTTCATTTTATGGAGATAGAACCTGAAGCTCAGAGAGATTAGGTAACTTTCTGAGAGACTGGCAGCTAGTATGCACCAAAGATGGGTTCAAACCTAAATCTGTCCAGCTATAACAGCCATTATATTGTATAAACTTTTAAAGCTATACAAAAATAATACCTGCTGTGGTAAAACTTAGGGGAAAAAAAAGCAAATTTAAAACATTAAAAATAAAATCACACAATTGTACACCAAAAGGAAACCTCTGCTGACATATTAGCTTTTCTAGTCTTCCTTTTGTTTTTAATAACTCAGATTATACTAATTTCATAACCTGCTTTCTTACGACATGAACATTTTTTCTTGTCACTACTGTATCTTACAGGTCATCAGTAAGTGGCTTGATTTCTACACTGTAAGTTGTTTTCAATTTCCCTTATAAATGATGCTGCAAACATCTTTATGGAAGTGTTTGCATTTTGAATTTCTCCAAATGACAACCTCTAGAAATACACTGGGCAGGATTTGAGCCAAAGTGCAAAGAAAAGTTTACTGCAATCCTGCCTGTGGATACCGGCTGCTTTGGATCTGAATCCTAGAGACCACCAGAGTAAGGAGAAAATTCACACGACAAGAGGGAAACAGAAGACTAGTCACCTGTGGGGCATTTGTCTAACACTTAGACATATTAAGAATGCCGAGCACCAGATTTCTAAAAGGAAAAGTACAAAAAATACCTAAGAGAAAAGAAAATTGGGAAGAATCTTATGTTGGACTGAAATGGGATGTGCTTGTTGCAAACTCCTGACTTTCCATATATATAAAAATGTAGTTGTAAATGTGTGTGTATGGATGGGGTGTGTGTGTGTGTGTGTGTACACGTATGTATGCATACACAAACACATACATACGTATATATTCCTTATCTCTGTCCAGTGGGCTCTGGAGCAGCAAACCCTTCAACTGCCTTGAGTTGGCCAGATCTTGGCTTTTATTTTTTATTTATTTATTTTTAACTTTTATTTATTTATGATAGTCACACAGAGAGAGAGAGAGAGGGAGAGGCAGAGACACAGGCAGAGGGAGAAGCAGGCTCCATGCACCGGGAGCCCGACGTGGGATTCGATCCCGGGTCTCCAGGATCACGCTCTGGGCCAAAGGCAGGCGCTAAATCGCTGCGCCACCCAGGGATCCCAGATCTTGGCTTTTAAATACCATTTTCCTCTAAAAGGAACCAAAGCTCTTTAAAGAAATGACTGATTCCAGGACTAAAGCAGACAAAACATAAAATAAGCTTCGAGCATCTTCTGCCAGAAAGCAAGGAGGTGCTCAAAGGTGATGGACTCATCTCTCAAAGACCCTGAAACCAGCTGAAGGGGCTCAGTCTAGTCAAACTGGGGACAATTTGGATGCCAAAATAAATACTGGTAGTTAGAGATCATATTCCATTGAATAAAATAAGAGACTTAAGAGTCTATACAGAAATAAATCAATGAATAAATTGAAACAAGGTATTTCCATAGTTTCAAAGTATCTCCTCAGAAATTACTTCCTAATTACAGTGGAAAAGAATAATTTTACAGGAGGGCCATCTGGCAGACACAGACCACCTGAATCAAATTATCAGAGGTAATACCTCCAGTAACGGACAGAAATGGAAGTCATATGCTACCTGACAGGATGAAGCTAGAAGAGCACGGCATCACTTCTGTGATATTCCTGCCCGATACCTAATCTGAAACTAAGAAACAAGCTCTACAAAATAACTGGCCTGTAATTCACATAGTTGTCAAAGCTGTGAAAGTCAAGGAAAGCTTGAGAAACTGTTCCACCTCAAAAATTAAAGAAATGACAGGGGCGCCTAGGTGGCTTGGTGAAGCCTCCAAATCTTGATTTTTGCCGAGGTCATGATCTCGGTGCTGGGATGCAAGCCAGTGCCAGGCTCTGCACTCAGTGCCAAAAACAAGGTAAGACTGTAATCTGAATTATTCTGTTACGGGGAACATTACCGGGACAACTGGCAGCATCTGAACGGATTCTGAGGAATGGATGGTAGAAATGTGTCGGTAAGAATTTCCTCAGGCAGCCCGGGGGTGGGGGTGGGGGGCCGCGGTTAGCGCCACTTTCGGCCCAGGGCGTGACCCCCGGGTCCTGGGATCCAGTCTCACGTCAGGCTCCCTGCGTGGAGCCTGCTTCTCCCTCTGCCTGTGTCTCTGCCTCTATGTCTCTCTCCGTGTCTCTCATGAATGAGTAAATAAGATCTTGTTTTTAAAAAAAATTTTTTAAAGTATTTCCTGACTCCCCGCACCGTGACGACGCCCGCAGAGCCTGCCCGAGAGCACCGGGGCACAGGGAGACTCGGCCTCAGGCCCCCTGGTCTAGGCGGCCGCCCCCGCTCACGTTCCGCCCCCCCCCCCCCGGGTCCTGCCCGGCTTTGGGGGCTGCAGGCCGGAGACGCGGGAGGAAGGAGAACGGGGCCTGCTGCCGAGATCTCTGGGCCACGTACTGGACGCTACGGGGGAGGGAAACCCGGCGCCCTCCTGCGAGCAGTGACCACCGGACTCGGGCAACGGAAAGGTCCTGCAGAGTTGTGATCCTAAGACCTGCGCACACGGAACGGCCAGCACGAGAGGACTCGTCACGGACACTCTTCACGTCACGAGAAAACGTTCCCTAAGTTACAGGAACAGGATGACACAGAGTAGGGACGAGAGAGGAGCCCCGCCCGCCCTCCCGGCCCCGCCGCCCCCGCCGCCCCGCACTTGCCTCGAGCTCCTCCGCCAGCGCGCGCACCAAGCAGTGGTCCTGCCGGCGGCCCGCGCCCGCCAGCCCCGCGGAGACCCAGGTCACGCCGCGCTGCAGCCGCAGCACCCGGCGGGCACACTCCCTCCACAGGCGGCACACGCTGGGGGCGCAAACGCACAGGCCGTGAGCCGGCGGCCCCGCCCCCGCCCGCGCCCCCCGGACCCCGCGGCCGCCGGAGGGGCACGGCGGGCGTACCTCGCGGTGGGGACGCCGCCCCGGGGCCGGCCCGCCCGCCCCGCCAGCCAGGGGAGCCCCGCGGCACGTCCCGAAGTCAGCGTCCCGCCTCCGCGCCTCTCACCCGGCCGCCCGCAGCAGCGCCTTGGCGGGCAGGAAGGTGAGGACGCGCTCCACCACCTCCGCCAGGTTGCCCAGCACGAAGGTGCCCTGTGGGTCCGCGCACGGGCCTCGGCCACCGCCGCCCAGCAGCTCCATCCCGCAGCGGCCGCCGAGCCAGCCCCACCGCGACGCGGAAGGCCGCGGGCAGGCGGGCGCCGACCTCCCGCCCAGGGCGCACGGCGCAGGCTCGCGCGTCACTTCCGACCGGAGGGGGCCGCAGACGCTTCCGGCGTGTTTGGGGGCGGGGCGGCCTGGTCGCGGCGGGCGCGCGTGTGTATGCATCAGCGCGAGCCCAGCCTTGCCCCGCTTCAGGAGCGACGGGCTCCGCGTGTGCGGGCGGCTGCGGGAAGCTTTGGCGTAAATCCTTTTTTTTCTTAAAGATTTTATTTATTTATGAGACAGAGAGACCCAGGCAGAGGAAGCAGCAGGCCCCATGTAGGGAGCCCGACGTGGGACTCGATCCCGCGACCCCGGGGTCACGCCCTGGGCTGGAGGCGGCGCTAGACCGCGGGCCGCCCCACGTAAATCCTTTCTTCAAAGACTGTGCAGTTGGAGCGCGCAGGCGCACGGCGGGGGCGGGGGACGCGGGCGCGCCTGGGCTCCCCCGACTCGGGCCGGAGCCCGCGCCCTGGACCGGGAGCCGCGGCCCCGACGTCTAAGTGCTCAGGGGTTTCGGGTGTAGACTTGGGCTCGGGTCGCGGGGAGGAGCGCCCCGGCCCCGCCCCCTGCCAACCACTGGTCCTCGCGTCGACGTGCTCAGAATTTGTTCCTTCTGCGTAGATCCCGAGGTGCGTCCACGCCTGTGCCTGTCGCACTCCCGTCGCTCGGCACTCCGCCCGCCGGGCCCATCCGCGTCCCTGCGCACCGCGAGGCCTATTTTCTGGCCGAATCGTCTGTAAACTCGCTTCTCTACGCACTTCGAGTGGGCGGTTGTGAAGGCGCACTGTGACGGGCCGCCCTCTGTAAACAGCGGGGAATCGCCGCTGAGGGGGCCACGGAGCTCGGCCCGGGCTCTGAGGCGCCCTCGGGCCGTCCCCGCCGCCCCCCCCCCCGCTCTGAGGCGCCCTCGGGCCGTCCCCGCCCCCCCCCCCCCGCTCTGAGGCGCCCTCGGGCCGTCCCCGCCCCCCCCCCCCCGCTCTGAGGCGCCCTCGGGCCGTCCCCGCCCCCCCCTCTGAGGCGCCCTCGGGCCGTCCCCGCCCCCCCCCAGGCGCCCTCTGGCCGCCCCGCCGGCGGCGCACACGCGCCCTTCTCTGCCTCCTCACCAAGGCACGTGTCCTTTCTGGCGTTTAAGCCCCTCGCGGGTCAGGTGGCCGCTCCCCTGCAAGCGCCTGTGGTCTGTGACGCTGAGCATCTCCCCCCGCGTGTCCGTCGGGTGTGGGCACGCCCTCCGCGCGACTCCTGCGTTCCCTGGGATTCCGAGCGAGGCGCGGCTGCATCCCCGCCAACGTCCCTTACCCCTGCTGCGCCCTCCGACGAGCCCGGCCTCCAGCCCGATCTCCTGAGGGTGAACTCGATTCACCTAACGCAGCGGGTCCCAAGCACGTGGCCTTAGGACTCTTCACGTTAATAAGGACAACCCCACGGAGCTTATGTGGGTTAGATCTACTCCTATTGGCCATATTAAAGATTAACACTTCAATATTGACTCACATAAAATAGTAAGTCCAGATGAACAAAGACTAATAGAATATTTGTGAAAAAATAACTATGCCCTCCCTCATCCAGTAGTGAACAGTTGTGGGGTCGCTTTAGTTGGCAAACCTCTAATTTCTGGCTTAATGGAAGCCAGCTGGACCTGCTTCTGAATGCCATCTGTTGCGCCATCACACTGGGCGGCCTCTGGAAAAGCCCACTGTGCGCTTTTAAGAAAATGGCAAGTGTTTTAGGAAAATAACTTGACCCTAACCTCCTGGGAGGGTCCCCGGGGTCTCCAGAGTTCCCCAGATCGTACACTGACAACCGCTGGCACAAAGTATGAATTCAGCCATCAGTTGAGAGGTGGGCACAAGCCCCAGTTCAGCCAAGGAACAGTGAAGAGCAGTACGCGGGGTGGGGGCAGCTTCTAAAGGACCAGGCCATCATCTGCCTCTGCGCAGAGGAACGCGGATACAGCACCCAGACATAACATTGAATCCAAAGATAAAGCCAACGCAGAAAAATCTCAAAGCAGCGTAGCAGAGCCCGGATGTCCCAGGCCTGGAATTTTCTGACCAAAGTTTTTCTGGGAGAAGACTTGATAGCTGTCTGTAAGGAGGCCACGGGAATACCACGGAGGGGGCAGACTCTTGTTAACGGGGAGGGGGGGGGCGCTAGGTACGGCTATGGAGAAAGCAGTACTTGGATTTATATTAAGGAAAGAGCGGGAGAGGGAGAAGGTTGAGGAAAACTGGAGTATAACCAAGTCCGTGTACACCATTCCTGGGTTCTCTAGCTTCCTCTTCTTAAATCAATCTGCCTGCCTCTGTTCCTCTCAACCCTCTCCTCACCCCATCCCACCATATATAAATCCTACTTCAAAAAAAAAAAACCTCACTCTTGGCTTCAGGTGTTTGTAAGCTCTTTTATCTCTTACAAGGGAAAATTAACAAAGTTATTTTTTAAATGGTTTTTTATTCATAAACTTGATGCAAGTTTACAAAATTTACTGTACATTGCCAAATAAATCTGCAATGAAAAATAAAACCCCCAAAAAACAAAGCATGCCAAGTGTGCAGCTGTCGATCTGCTAGCCATCAGGATATTAAAGAATTCAATAATGTATTCAAGATTTAGCCTTAGGTTTAAGGAACTTTAATGCTTTTAAAGAATCCTGGCTGGTCACTTACTATCTCAGCAACTGGCGATCAGAACTTTATACAAATGTAACCCAAGGACACAAAAATGCCAGAAAATATTTTTCTACTGTTCTCTTAACCAAAATAGAGCAAAAACAAGTCACACACACACACACACAGTAACACAGAAGTGCCAAGTTTCTCTGATGTGGTCTACAAAGTTAAGAATCGAAACTTAGAGCAAATGTGTAAGAAACACTTTTGAATTTTGTAACATGTTTGTGCAGAAAAATGTGCTTCTGGATTTCATTTTAAAAGTGCTTAATAACTAGAATTTGCTTTTAAGTCAAACTTGGGTAGATAAAAAAAATCTATCACCAACCTAAACCGGACTGATTCAAGTAAGGCAATAAAATGGAGGTACGCTGATTTGAGTCACGTTTTATAAAAGAATGAACATGGCAGAATTCCTATTAATCTTTCAATGTAAAAGCCATCGTTATGACTATAGCAAAAATTTTAAGAGTCTCCAAATTAGATATCTTTTTGTACTTCGCTGTGCAACTTTTTGCTCAAGGGTTCTCTTTGTGCCAATCACTTTACAAGTTTATTAGTTTAAAAAGGATTGCAACATCCCGTTAATAAAATGGAAACAAAGTAAAATGATTTAGTATTTTAAATAACTTCAAGCTCTATACTGCAGTTCTTCATAAGAAATACTGAACCAACAAAGAAGCGGATTCAGCCCAGCAAGACTCTGATGCCCCAGTGGAAAGTATTACTCACAAAGCTTTAATTTACACAGCCTTGCTTTGCTTTGCCTAAAAGGTACAATAGAACTCAGCATATTTTTGGGAAACAATTCATATTTTCACCTAGCCATAAAAAAGTTTAACAGTTTAACGAGGAGGTTTCCTGTCATCATTTTGGCAATATCAAAAAATGGTTTTTATTTGAAAAAGCTAGTGTGATTTAGAAGACTTTAAATTTTCTAAACCAATATTAAAATATCAAACTTTTATTGGCTCTAAATGGAACAGTATATTGCAAGTCCTTATAACACATGAGCTCAATATGGGAAAGTTACCCTAAAGTCGCAACTTCTATAATCTGATGCTGACTTGTCTGCTTAACAGATTTTTCATGAAAAAGAGATAAGTCGCCAGTATGAGTAAATGCCCCACTACTCAGTCCAAGATACCTAAAATGAGCAAAATGAAAAGGCTGTAACTCATACTGGATGTCAGTCAACAGATTATCCACTAAAATATCTATTAGCTAATGTCTTCGGTACTGCTGTTATAAGGGCACTCAAAGCTTGTGTCTGGATGTTGGAAAGATTTTCTTTAAAGCAACATTGGTTTAAACGTACGACAGTCAACATATTTAGCCATCTTCCTTTGGAGGGGTATACCAGCCTGAAACACAATGGAAAAAATGTTAAAAGACCTTCTTGAGCAGTAAGAGTAATGGCATTTCATTTAAGTTTATCTACTTCCTCTACTCATATTTTTCTTGTTTAAACCTATTGTAAAAATTAAACTTACATTTGGGTTGATAACAGCATTTTGATATGTGCACAACATAAAGTTATTTTCTATGAATAAATTGTACTTGAGTTTTCAACATAAAATTTCTACACTAATTGAATTTCTAGCTAAAGGTGATAGCATGGAACAACGGACTACAAGCTAGGTTTGCTCTTCCATTTCAACTGCATAAAAGTAAACCTAACTGAAAATAACTATCCCCCAAACAAAATGCTGGCATTTTAAAATAATAAGAACCTGGACTGTCATTACTACAACGATACCATTTCACCAGTGAGGAAGTCATCTCAGCAAGTGCAGTGACTATGCCTAGGATCAGAGTTGGCAGCACAAACCAACCTGGAACCTGATTCTGAATCAAATGCTCTTTTACCAAAGCAAAGCTTATACACACCCACTTTCTAAAATACCTGATTCTGAATCAAATGCTCTTTTACCAAAGCAAAGCTTATACACACCCACTTTCTAAAATACATTTACATAAACATTTTGGAATGATGACTACAATGTTTGCTTCAACAAAAAATAAGTAAAAGAAAAAATGTGACTGTTTCCCAGACAACAAAAATCTAAGCTCTCTATAGAAAGGCTAACGAAACTAAGTATTGCTTCGCACGAAATGGCCATTGGAACAGTATGAATATACCAAGATATGTAGAGCATCCACATGGTTATGAAGTCGTATACAAGTACCTGTGAATCTAATTTAGTGTGCTATGAATTATTATGAAAACCCAGCCTTGCCCTCCAGTTTTATCATTTCCTTTAGAAACTTGACCTGTTTCAAATATTATTCTTTCAGAAATAGTCACTGAAAAAAGTGAATTTGCTTTGAAATTAAAATAAAAGTCTG